CGCAGCTTCACGGCAGGGTGTTGACATGCGTCCTAAAGCCTCTCCTGCTTAGGGAGGTCTTTCCTTGTCCTTTTCCTAGGTGACTGATGACCTTCTTTTAGGCCTGGAAGTGGCATGGCTTTCATCCATCAAGTTCAGCTTCCAACATTTGGTAGATTCTTCACTATTACTCAGAGTCCAAAGTCAATTGTCCTTGGCTCTCTGGCTTTCGGGCTGTGATTCACCTGAGCCAGCAGTATATGCTGGGATTCTACACTCATGCAGAAGCTCCTGTGAACCTTGGTGGGAGGGTCTAGCCCATTTGCATTGCTTTTGAATCCTTCTCCAAAATGTTCCAGCCCTTCATTTAATGAAAGTTGCCTTTGCTATTTTAAATCATCATTAACATTCTCATTGATCACTTTAATGTGTCTGTGAAAGGAGAGGTGTAGAGAATGCTCACAGACTCTGAGCAAAAGGAAAAAAAAGGCATGTGATGATGTGTCCCTTGCTCTCGGAGCAGAGAGTTTGGAGGTTGAATGGCGACAGAAGGACAGTTTCCTCAGCAAGAGTGGTGGGATGCCGTCTAATACCTGAGGAAGATTGTAGGTTTGTCTCAAGCCTGTTTTTATTTTTGGAGGGATTGTTGCAGTATCACAGATGAACAGTATTTGTCATAAAAAGGAAAGCCAGGGCCAGGTACAGTGGCTCATGCCTATAACCCTAGTACTTTGGTAGGCTGAGGCGGGAGGATTGCTTGAGCCCAGGAGTTCGAGACCAGCCTAGGCAACATAGGGAGACCTTGTCTCTATAAATAATTTTTTAAAAATTAGCTGGATATGGTGACATGTTCCTGTGGTCTGAGCTACTTGGGAGACTGAGTTAGGAGGATTGCTTGACCCTGGTAGGTGGAGGCCTCAGTGAACTGTGATCACACCACTGTATTCTACCCTGGCTGACACCTTAGTGGGACCCCATCTCAAAAACAAACAAACAAATAAACAAAAGGAAAAGCAGACATTATGTTCAGATGGAATGAACATATTCTTTTACTAAGAAAAGTAAAGAAAAAAACGGTTCATTGTCACTCTCTGGTGATGTTCATGAGCCAGCTTAGCCACTGTTTTATGGCCCTGGGACACAGTAAGTTCTCAGGGTAATATACACTGAGAAAATAAAGCAGTGAAGAGTTCTGTGGCAGATGCCTTCCTACTTGGGGAATTGTCAGTAAGCTGACTGCACCATCTTGGCTCCCTGTCTGCCAAAGACCTTGGTCCCTGGGAGAATTCAGAGAGTGGCTTAGAGTGAGACAATGTGCGGCCAGACATCATGGGCTTATCTTGGGTGTGTAGATAGTGACATGTGCCTGATGACATGGTATCTTATTGCCAACAAATGCAGATTCATGCTCTCCAGAGGAGGCCGAGGACACATGTCCCCTGTTCCAAAGAGTAGGTCACTTTGCCAACACTTGACATCACCCCCCTCCTACATGGCAAGCTGCAGCTCTGGGTGCAGGGTGTCATCTGTTGGTCTTTCCCTCTGTGTAACACACATCACACTCACATGTATATTTTCTTTTCTTTTTTGTGCATTTCTGCATGTGCACCTAGATGCCTTTCTCTTTCTTATGTGCCAGGTTCTTTGTTGACTGTTACCCCATTTCATCCTCACAGGGAGCTCATGAGAGAAGTGCAGTTAGAATACTTGTTTCCTCAACACAGAAACTGAGGCCAAGGTCACTCAGCTAGTGTGTGGCAGAGTCAGGATTTGAACCCAGGCCTGCCTGCCTCAGTTGCTTTAGCTCTCTACCCTTGTGAGAATCAGAAAAGGAAAGCTAACCAGGAAGGAAGCAGTGAGAAGAAAGCCGACAGTGACCAAGCCCCATGTGCTGTGTGGCAGCTTCTGAGCTCTTTCAAGGGTGAAAGTTCTTGTCCATTTCCTCAACATGTGGTTGACAGGCTGGACTGGACCTGTTTCCAGGGCAGCCTGGGCCCACTCCTCTCTCCCTATGAGACTCTTCCCATTTCCCAGAAGTTTGCAAGAAGGACTAACCACTTAGGCAAGAAGGAAAAAGGTTAAGTACTTCTTTAGAGTTCAATCCTGGTAGTACATGGGAGTAAAAGCAAGTTATAGAAGGAAATTGCATCTAGCTGGTGATGATGCGGGTTGTATCCTTTTCTTCCTTAGACTGTTGAGATCAGATTATTTAAGTAGGGATCAAGGAGAGCTGTTTATAAGGCTGTTGCATCTTAGGGCAAGAGGTGACCAAATCTTGAGTTGTAAATATATATGACTCTTCTACATCATCGTTTCACAAAACAGTAATCTAGAGAACATACATAAAAATGCAGAAGCTGAAAGATTTCCAAATAAAGGGCCGCAAGGAGTCTGGAAGCAGTTCTGTGCATGGGGCATCCTTGGGTCCCTCTTGGGAGGAGCTGCTGGGTAGTGAGAGGAGCATGCACAGCCAGCAGGCCTCCTTGGTACAGCTGCCTGGTGTGCACCATTCCTGTACACACATGGCTGAGCCCGGCTCCCTCTCATGATACAGACCAGATTGCTCGGCATAGCTTTATCCTGATGCAGTCAAGGGAAATTAGTCAACTGCAAGCTTGGATGATGCCACTAACAAGCTGGCTGAGATTCAGAAGAGCAGATTCCTCCACTGAGGCCACAGCACACACAGTGATGGCGAGCATGGTTTTGATTACTGCACATGTACCTCCCTGATGAGGGCAAGAACTCCCTGGTCTTCTTGACTTTTAAATCCCCTCTGCAGCCCCCAAATGTATAGACTTTTTTATATTAGCAAGGCAGTTTCAGGTTCGTTGCCTCACTCAATTTCTGCAGGGGCCCCCAAAGGGAGACTAGAAGGTGAATTAGTATCTTCTTATATATAAGATTCTTGGATCAGAGAGGCTTAGCGACTTCCCCAATGCCACACAGTGAGTACATGGTAGAGGCAGTACTTGGACCCAAGTGACCTGGCTCCCAGCTCAAACTGTACAACCTCAGGAATCAACTTTGAGAGTGTGCATTAGGTAGAATGTCAGTGAAGTGATTCAATTTACCTGGAAAATGGAAGAATGAGAGGAAGTAAAACCAAGGTGGGAACCTCAGTTAGGGAAGTTTTGGGCTCTAGGTTACGGAACAGGTGAAGAATGGTTGGTTCAGCTTCAGGCATCTGATGATATCATGTAAGAAGAAAAAATATATATATATTTTTTTACTCCATGCCTCATTAGAGGATATTTAAGCCCTGAAACCTTTGGGACATAATTTTTCAAATGCTTTTATATGACTAAAAGCAAAGAAGAAAGAGAGGGTGCAAGCCTGACTGATGGATGGGGAGATCTGGAGGTTTGGGAGCCAGAGAGGATAAGTTGTGGGCATTGAGGTTCTGTGGTGAGTGGCTGTGAAGTCAGTCTGCCTGGATTTGAATCTCGATGACCCCCGCCTCCAGTTACTCTCTGGTGTCTTTGGGCAATCTGATCATTTTTGCTGTGCTTCAGTTTCCCTATCTGTAAAGGGGGAGTAATTGAAGGTGCTTAACCTGCAGACGAAGTTTACATGTTGCCTAGATGCAGTAAGTGCTCAACAGTTAATTGCCAAGGTCGGTATGATCATCACCCCTGCTTGCTCAGTGAGGCTCTCTTCATGGGAAACCTGATGCATCCCAGTTGCTCTTGATGCATCCCAGTTGCTCCTACCTCCTCTGGGAAGCAGCCTCTGGTGCAGGCTAGGCACTAAGTTAGGTCCCTCTTCTATATACTCCCCATAAATTCTAATTATCTGTTGCCTGGATTCCCCACCACAAAGTGAGACCACACCATTCGGGCTCATGCCTGGTCCTTCAGTGTATTTCCTGTGGCAAGCACATGGCTGGACCCAAAGCAGGTGCCTGAGGACCACTTGACTGATGACAGTGTCATGGTATATCCACTTTAGCAGCCAAAGAGGCCTGGAGTTTCTGAGGGAAGAGAGCAGAACCATCTCTCCCAGACCTAGCTAGCTCTTGAGCAAAGCTGGCTTAAAGAGTTTGGGCTTTAAAACTACAGTTGGCAAGGACCACGCAGGGCTGTGAACATGGGAGTGAGTGAAATAAAGAGATAAGCTTGGGAAATCCCTCTGGATACACCTCAGGGACAGGCTGATGAGGGGATAGACAAGTTTTAGGAGAAGGTTGATGAGTAAAGATGCTAGAGTGTCAGCAGGGCCAAGGGTCCAGAGCCTCGCAAAGCCCCAGGATTGCTCATCTGCACAGCAATGGGAGCTGTGAATGGGATTGACAAGAGGCAAGATGATCAGATGTGTGTTTTGGAAGGACCAGCCTCCCTGCAGGGCAAAGAAACATGCTTACTGCGAGAAATGAAGATAAGAATACTCACATTTTAGCTACCTGGTTGTGAGCTTTGGGAAAAAAATAAAGGGCCCAATTCTGAAGTGATGAAATAAAGGGATTGAAGTGATGGGGGGGTGCTGGCGTTGGCAGTGCATGGGAAATTGTGCATGCACAGTGTTCTGACTGGTACCCACATACTCTCTCAGAGTGACCAGCAAACATTAAGGCTTGTTCTGTCCCCGCCTTGTGTAACCCGCACGTGTGTCCCTTGGTTCCATGAAGCCAAAGATAGTAGCTGGAGCTGTATCCACGCAACTCTGGGATGCTCTTCAGATCCCACCTGGACCACGGGCTCATGGGCTGTCGGTCATGCCCAGGGAACTGCCAGTGTTTGGAGCCAACCCCAAAGAATGGTTAGTTAACAGAGTACACCCTGAACCCTGCCATCCACCAGCACGTGCTCTAGAAGTTTCTCCTTTAAGCAAGAAAAGAATAAGTGTCTGTAGCACTTGGGCATAATTGCCTAGAGGGACACTCATGGGAGTGGTGAACTCATGTGAATAAATGGAGCCTGTGATTATGCCACTTTTTTGTTGTTTATATGCATATCTCCTTAATTATTAAGAAGTGCCCTTCAATTCCTTAACCATTTCTTCTTGACTCTTTTCCTTTGTAGTATAATGAGGAGCTTCACTATGTGGAACCTTGCCTGAATGGAACGTTGGTGCAAGCCGACAGGACAAACAAGGAGGTAGGGGCAGCGGGGGAGCATCACAGTCATGGCACCCCCTGTCTCCCTCATAGTGATTGTTTTACAATAAATCTGTCTTGATTAGAAAAAGAAAACTTCATCAAATGCATTGCCCTTTCATTGAGGCCCTTGGAGCCCCCATGTGTAGAATATTCTTTAAGAGGCGCAAAGAAAATCAAGGCACTAAAATAATTTCACTGAATTCAGAGGCTTGCTAGTTCTGAAACAATTACACTCACTTATTGTCCTCCTACTCCAATAAACACACGCTGTCGTGTGCCTGACGTGTATGTTGACACTCTTGAAAGAATGTGGCTCTTGCTGAGATTTCAAAGAAAATTGAACCCACTTGTTATTTCCCTTGTTGTCCTTCTCATGGTTGATTAAATGGTCATTGGGGCAACTGATGGGGTAACTTGCCTGATTTTAAAGGTAAGCCTTACAAGGATAGGGATGCTGTCTGCTCACTATTGTATCCTCAATGTGCTGAGCATTGCTTGTTCTGTCAATATTGTAGAGCAAAAGAAAGAGATGGTAAAGGAGAATCTTACAAAATGGAACAGAGGTTTTCCCCTCCAGTTTTGGAGCATCCTAGGAAAAAATTTCTAAAGTAAACTTCTGTAAAATAAATCCTGTTTCCTTAAGCCACTCTTGAATTTGTCAGGTACAACTACCACAACCACCACTATGCCCACCTGCAGAGCGAGCCGAAAATTTCACTTGAAGGTGTTTCTGTGTCTGCAACCATGTCACACCTGACCTTGCTCAAAGCTGCCATTGCCCATGTTGATTTTCTGTACCTGACACACAGAGCTGCTCTTCCCCTGGAGAATAGACCCACGTGAGGTGGCCTGGGGCAATGGCTAAGGTAGGCTTCTGTGTGGCACATTGTATGTGCTGGAAAGAATCCCCTGGCCCAAATTGTATTGGTGTTATCTTAGATGCAGGTAGTAGAAGCACTTAATTTGGGTATCGTTGAGGAAGTGAACAACAGATGATTAGGAAAAATTCATTCCAGTTGAAACACCAAGTATAAAGGAAAAAATATATTGGAGTTCATATCTGGGTTTCAATTTGAGGGGAAAGAATCACCATGATAAGCTTCCTATTTGGGAGGGAGAAACCAAGTACATTGTAGTTCAAAGAACAAGTGTAACCTGAGAATCCTCATTCATGGGTAGTGTCTAGTCTAAGGCAGGAAAAGTGACTTAAGTCTATAGCCACATTTCTCTAGAGACCTTTCCCCTTTGGCCATTGTGTAGGTGAAGATCTCATCCGCATTCCAATAATGTAATATTGTAATATCCTCCAGAGCCTCAAATAGGTGTTCAGTGCTGGTGCTTGCAACATTGAACAGAACAGACACTTAAATGATCAAAGCCTTTCTTCAGATTGCTTCCCAGAGGAACAAAGGACAGTGTGATCTTTGGAAATAGGAAGTTTTATGAAGGAAAAAAAAAATCATGAGAGGAAATAAGCTACAAAATTATTTTAAATTGTCTTTGAATTTATGGATATTGAAGACTGGAATACTTTTGAATATAAAAACTAATCTGGACTTTTTATTCTGCCAATATGGAGTAACCATATTCTAGTGAGGTCCTCACCTTTGTAACTAAGAAGCCCTAGGTGTAACACAGCATACAAGTATAGGTTGAATATTCTTTATCTAAAATGGTTGGGACTAGAAGTGTTTCTGATTTTTCAGATTTTGGAATATTTGCATTATACCTACTGGTTGAGCATCCCTAATCTGAAAATCTGAAATCCAAAATGCTCCAGTGAGCATTATGTTGGTGCTTAAAGAGTTTCAGATTTTGGAAAAATGCATATTTTGGATTTTGGATGCTTGAATTAGAAAGGCTTAATCTGTATAAGAAGACTTGAAAAGGAGAAAGTGAAATGTCTAGGGGCTTTGGGTCTTAAAGACAAAAGGGAAGTTCCCTGGTTTTCCTGTTTGACTCCCATATGTCATGAACAGAGCATTGCAGAATCTTCTCACCTGGACCAACAACAGGCACAGATTAAAAAAAAAAAAAAAGGCCAGGCACCATGACTCACACCTGTGCTCCCAACACTTTGAGAGGCTGAGGTGGGTGGATCACGATGTCAGGAGTTCAAGACCAGCCTGACCAACATGGTGAAACCCAGTCCCTACTAAAAATACAAAAATTAGCCAGGCATGGTGGCACATAACTGTAATCCCAGCTACTCAGGAGGCTGAGACAGGACGGTCACTTAAACCCAGGAGGCAGAGGTTGCAGTGAGCTGAGATCATGCCACTACACTTCAGCCTGGGTGACAGAGCGAGACTCCATCTCAAAAAATAAATAAAAATAAAAATTAAATTTTAAAAAATACTTCAGGAAATCTTGTTCCTTCTAGCCAGAGGACTACAGAATACCTTTGTAATTACATTTTTTCTATTCTAGCCTGACATCAACGAAACAACCAATCCTACATAGTTTCAGTGGGGCCAAACAAGACATTGATGTTTTGTCCCACTCATACTCCTTTGGTCCTTGGGCTATACTTCACAGAGAATGACTGCTAAGAGAAAAGATGAAATCGGATCCAGAGTCTCATAATATAAAATCCATAATGTCCAGAATGCAATTAAAAAGCCCATTTTTATTCCAAGAACCAGGACAATAACAACATGAATGAGAAAAAACAATCAACAGAAGCCAATATTTATATGAATTGGATGTTGGAATTACAAAATTGTTTTAACAAGCAATTAGGTATCTTTTGCAACAACTGAAAAAGTAGAAAACCTCCCAAAGAAGTAGATGTTATAAAATAGAGCCAAATGGAAATTGTTGAAGTGAAAAATGCGACCACCAAGTAAAAGCTGACTTATCACCTCAAAAGAGTGAAGATGACAGCAGATAAAATCAGTGAACTTCAGGACAGATCAATAGAAATACCCAAGTTGAACAACAGAGAGAAAATAGACTGGAACAAAATGAACAGTCTCAGGGACATGTAGGACAATAAGAAAAAAGTAACATTAATTACATTGAAGTCACAGGAGAGGAGAAACAGAATGGGACTGAAGGGTGTTTAAAGATGTATTGGCTGGAAACTCCCCCAAACTGGGTGAAAGGCATAAGCATACATATTCAAGAGGTTATGCAAACTGCAAATAGAATAAACTATGTAAATCCATGCCAAGACATATCATAAATATAACTAGACAAGAAAAAATCTTGAAACAGCCAGAAAGAAAGGACACATTGCTTATATAGAATGCCAATTTGAATTACATAGATTTCTCACATGAAATCATGAAGACCAGAAGGAAGTAGCATAGCATTTTTCAAATAACGATAGAAAAGAACTGCCAACTTAGGATTCTATATCCAGTGAAAGTATCCTCAGGAACAATGAAGAAATAAAGGCATTCTCAGTGGAAGGAAAACTGTAAAACTGTTGCCTGTAAGCCTACCCTTAAATAATGTCCAAAGGGAATTCTCTAAACAGAAAGAAAATAAGAAAAGAAAGCTAGGAACTTCAGAAAGGAGAGAAGAACATTGAAATGAGTGAGAAAAATAGAATTAGGGTATCCTAGTTCCTGGGCAATTCTTAAATTATGTTTCATGGTTGAAGCAAAACTATAACACCATCTGAAATGATATCCAATGTTTATGGATGGAATACTTAAGACAATTTAATTTTAAAAGTGTGAAGGCTAAAGGGACCTAAATAGAAGGTTTCTATACTTCACTAGAAATGGTAGATACTGATATTAGACAGTAATAAATGACATATTTATATCATAATGCCTAGAGCAACCACTAAGGAAACAATAGAGTTATTCTTTAAAAGTAACTCATAGGAAGGTAAGAACTTAGAAACAAAGGAATTAGAAAGAGGATAAATAGGAAAAAAATTAATTGGCAGACTCAAGTCCTCATATATCATTAATCACCTTATATATTAGTCTGTTCTCACTCTGATAATAAAGACATACCTGAGGCTGGGTAATTTATAAAGAAAAAGAGGTTTAATGGGCCCAAGTTCCACATGGCTGGGGAGGCCTCACAATCATGGTGGAAGGCAAAGCCACATCTTACATGGCGGCAAGCAAGAGAGCACGTGCAGGGAAATGCCCTTTATAAAACCATCAGATCTCATGAGACTTGTTCACTATCACAAGAACAGCATGGGAAAAACCCGCCTTCATGATTCAGTTATCTCCCACCAAGTCCCTCCAATGATACATGGGGATTACAGGAGCTACAATTCAAGATGATATTTGGGTGGGACATAGCCAAACCATATCACCTGAAATTTAAGTGTTCTGAAGACCACCAATGTAAGGGCAGAGATTGTCTGAGTGGATTAAAAAAAAACAAACATGATCCAATCATATGACCATGTGCTGACTGTAAGTAACTCACTTGAAATACAATGACGGATATGTTGAGAGTAAAAAGATGGAAAATAATATATACCATGCCAACATTATTTTTAAATAGGAGTGATTATATGAATATCATATAAAGTCTTCTTCAGGGCAAAGAAAATTACTAGAGACTTAGAAAGGGATATTTCATAATGATAAAAGGATCACTCCCATAGAAAAATCATTACAATCCTAAATGTGTTTGTACCAAAATACACAGTTTCAAAATACACAAAACAGAAACTGTTAGAGCTGAGGATAGAAATAGACAGATTTCCAGTTATAATTGGAGACTTGTACATTCCACAGTCACCACTGTACAAAAAGTCAACAAGGGTCTAGAAGAATTGAACACCACCATCAACCAATGAGATTGAAATGACATTTATAGAGCACTCTATCTAAATAACAGCAGAATGTTCTTCTTAAACGCCCATGGAACAGTAAGCAAGATAAACATATCCTGGGTCATAATAGAAACCTTAAAATTTTTAAATCTTTAAAATTGTAGAGTATAATTTCTGATGACAATGGACTACAACAGGAAATCTATAACAGAAAGACAGCAGAAAAATCCCCAAATGCTTAG